TATCACCTTTGTGCATGTGTGTTAGCATATTTTCATAAATGTTTTCAAGGGTGTTAGTAGTCCACTAGATCATAAATGCATATGCAATGAGTTAGAGCATCTAGTGGCACTTTGATAACCGCATTTCGATACGAGTTTCACCCCTCTTAATAGTATGGCTATCGAACCTAAATGTGATCACACTCGCTAAGTGTCTTGATCACCGAAATGAAATGGCTCCTACCACTTATACCTTTGCCTTGAGCCTTTTGTTTTTCTCTTTCTTCTTTTCAAGTCCAAGCACTTGATCATCACCATGGCATCACCATCATCATGTCATGATCTTCATTTTCTTCACTACTTGGAATGTGCTACCTATCTCATGATCACTTTGATAAACTAGGTTAGCACTTAGGGTTTCATCAATTCACCAAAACCAAACTAGAGCTTTCAAGTTGCCACATCCCACCCAACCTCGTAGAATCCTATTAGGCATGCAAATGATTAGCTGCTAGCACTTTATTACTTACATGCAAATTATGATAGGTTGCATGGTATAATTGCTTGGAAGCCATTACCTTGATGCAACCATACCCCATGCATACCCGTTGTTAGGTTAGACACGCGCTTACCATGCTTGCTACTTACTTCTACTATGCATTATGTTTATGATGTGATGCTGGGTGGAAGATTGTTTGTGAGTGGCTAAGGCACATGGTGCCATTAACGGGATAACAACTTGGGGAGATCTTGGCATGTGTTTTGGGTGTGTGGTGAGGGTTGAGTCGACTGGATAGGATTCTATAACAAGTCTACAAACAAGTCTTGCTAGGGGGATGTGACCTAGGCATTCCTGTGAGAGGTACCTATGGCGGGTACATGTGACATGAGTAGATTCTAGGGGAGGAGACTCTTCATGGGGTGAATCCTCGAAAGGGAGGTGCCGTCGAGGCATGGGGTGTTGGTTATCCCCATCGAGAAGATGTCTTGTCTGGTCCCCCTAAGGACTGGTATGTCGAGAGAACCGGTTCATAGGACCCCTTCGTACACACCACTCGTTCCTGAATGGGCGGGAAATGACATACCGACTAGCTAGGGCGATGCCACTACTACTAGGTAGGAAGTTGATAAGTGTAAGGAGGTAAGGGCGTCTAGCCCACACCCTTCTAAGACAGCTGAAAGGTCCTAATGGCTAGTGGGGGTGAATAGCCTATTAAAAATTTCTACAACAACACTTAACAAACCGGTTAGACAATAATGAGGCAAAACAAGTGTTGCGCTAGCCTACTAAAATTGCAAGCCACCTACCACAATTCTAGTTTATATAGTTTCTATCCACACAATAGCTATGTCACTACACTAAGTTAGTGTGCTCTCAAATGCTAACTAAAGAGCCACACTAACCAAACTAACAAGCTCTCATAACTAGCTACACTCAAGAGCTTGATAACTAGTTTGCGGTAATGTAAAGAGAGTGAGCAAGATGGTTATACCGCCATGTCGAGGAAGGAGCCAATCAATCACAAGAATGAATACCAATGAAGACCAATCACCTCGGAATCAAATGATGACACAATGATTTTTTTACCGAGGTTCACTTGCTTGTCGGCAAGCTAGTCCTCATTGTGGCGATTCACTCACTTGGAGGTTCACGCGCTAATTGGCATCACACGCCAAACCCTCAATAGGGTGCCGCACAACCAACACAAGATGAGGATCATACAAGCCACGAGCAATCCACTAGAGTACATTTTGGCTCTCCGCCGGGGAAAGGTCAAGAACCCCTCACAATCACCACGATCGGAGCCGGAGACAATCACCAACCTCCGCTCGACGATCCTTGCTGCTCCAAGCTGTCTAGGTGGTGGCAACCACCAAGAGTAACAAGCGAATCCCGTAGAGAAACACGAACACCAAGTGCCTTTAGATGCAAACACTCAAGCAATGCACTTGGATTCACTCCCAATCTCACAAAGATGTTGAATCTATGATGGAGATGAGTGGGAGGGCTTTGGCTAAGCTCACAAGGTTGCTATGTCAATGCAAATGGCTAAGAGGGTGAGCTAGAGCCGGCAATGGGGCTTAAATAGAAGCCCCCACGAAATAGAGCCATTGTACCCCTTCACTGGACACAACTCGGGGTGACCGGACACTCCAGTCAGATCGACCGAACGCAGGACCCCAGTGTACGGTCGCCCGATGCTTGCCATGTGTCATCGGTTCAAACGCTGATCGCCCGATTTCAACGGTCAAGTGATGACCGGACGCACTGCTCGAAGTGATCGGACGCACCAACACCAGCGTCCGATCGTTTCCAGTAAGGTTCCAGAAGCAAAAAATCACGATCGGACGCATCCGGTCTTGACCGACCGGACTCACCCAGTATCCGGTCACTCAACATCTCCCCTGTGCGCTGCATATGTCATCATATGTCATACTGACAGGACTCAGGCCCTAAGCGTTCGGTCATTTCTCGTGCCAGCGTCCGGTCATGAGAACAAAATCACACGCTCACTGCTGCCACTGACCGGACTCGCCAGTCCAGTTGAGTCCAGCATCTGGTCCACTCTGTGAGACCCTGTCTCTTCTGTAAAGGGCGCCGGTGGCACCGTCGGACTATCCGCACTCTATGGGCGGACACTCCACCGGTGAAGTTCCTAACCCTTGCTCAAATATGCCAACCACCAAGTGTATCACCTTGTGCACATGTGTTAGCATATTTTCACAAACATTTTCAAGGGTGTTAGCACTCCACTAGATCCTAAATGCATATGCAATGAGTTAGAGCATCTAGTGGCACTTTGATAACCGCATTTCGATACGAGTTTCACCCCTCTTAATAGTACGGCTATCGATCCTAAATGTGATCACACTCACTAAGTGTCTCGATCACCAAAACAAAATGGCTCCTACCATTTATACCTTTGCCTTGAGCCTTTTGTTTTTCTCTTTCTTCTTTTCAAGTCCAAGCACTTGATCATCACCATGGCATCACCATCATCATGTCATGATCTTCATTTACTTCCCCACTTGGAATGTGCTACCTATTTCATGATCACTTAATAAACTAGGTTAACACTTAGGGTTTCATCAATTTACCAAAACCAAACTAGAGCTTTCAACAGCGTGGTGACCTTGGTGGCCCGGTACTACGTCTCACAGTCTCAGCGTGCCGGTAGACTTCGGGGTGCCCCAGGGCTGAGAGGTAGGTGGCATCGTACCATATAGGAGTCAGTCCAGTATCAGCCTAGACAGTGCACATGCCGATGATGGTGATCTTGTGGTTACAAGTGTACACGCTCTGCAGAGTTGATCGATCTATATGTATAGCCATGTCCACGGTCATGGACATTCCTATGATCTTCGCTTCCCTTGATTAGTGAGTGGTGTATTCTCTTCTCTCCCCGTGGGTTCGATGGATCCGGCTGTTAGCCGATGAGGCAAGGTATGAGAGGGAGTCATCCTTGTCGCATAGAGAGTGTGAGTGTGGTGAGATGTGTGGATGTGTATGGATGGGCTGGATGGATGGAATGGGTTAAAACTTGATAACAATTATTATATTGATGAACTTGTATAGGAAAAACTATAGCCATATTATAGGCCCTTTTCTCTTACCATTGCGTACCACTTACCACAAAGCAAACACAAAGCATAGGGTGGAAGCCAGTGGCCAGTACAAATCGTACTGATAATTGTCTGACAGGTGACGAGCCCGAGTACGACTACGAGGGCAATGATTGGGAGGATTAGAGGTCTTGTCTTGTGCCCAAGTCTGCCTGAGGAGATGGAGTCTGCGCCCGCTGTCATATCTTCTGATGCTGTTCAGGATGCTGTGTGCTCTGAGTGATTCCGCCAAGTGGCGATGTAATAATGAGTAAACCTCTCTATTGTATTCTTTAAGACAGGTATTCGATGTATGTACTGTGATATCGACTGAATTTCAATAATATGATGGCATGATCTTCTGGGACTATCACATTATAATTTGTATCTGTGGATTTCTCTTCGAGGAAATCGTGGATCGTTTCATGCATGGAGAATGACCGACGTAAAAGGCCAACAATAAAGGATATTGTGAGCCAATTGGATGAGGTGAGAAATTTTAATCTTGACTCACAGGTGCTGATGAAAAGGGTACGATTAATAATCTATGTAACCATCGATCGTATGATATTTTTCCCAAAAATTACATGCAGAACTTTTGGTACATCTTATGTCACTGGACTCTGACTATACATGTCTTTTTGTATTTACATCGGAAACACTATAACAAATTAATGCTAGCTTTTTTTCAAATATAAAAATGACAAAAATACTCTTATGCCACTTAATATTGATTTTTTCCCATTCTCATTAATATTCTTTGAAACAGATCGAGAGGCGAACCAAAAATCCTCGGGCTACCATCTCAACCCTGAACATAATGGAATTTTATTAGTTGTCTGAAACATCCCAAGTTTGAAATAATATCTAAGATGTGTTTAATTAGATACAAAATTTACCTTTTTGATGTGGAAGATCATAATATTTTTTTTAATCATGGAACAACGTTCGAGCCTCTACCATAAAGTTGATCCAACTTAATGTGTTGACTTGGGACAATTGACAATGCATTATACTACCTCTGTTTTTCAAACTATAAGACACTTTACATTTTCTAGATACAATAAATTTTGCTATACAATTAGATATACAATACGTCTATATACGTAGTTAAATTAATTTATCTAAAAAAGCTAAAACAGTTTACTTTAAAACGGATGGAGTAGGTACCATAATAGAATTAGAAAGGCGTATAGATAATGATGTTGTTCTTGGCTAAAGTTACGGTGGGGGCAGGACACTATCTATTTTCACTCGTGCCTGCACAACTTAGGTATCTGTATTAATTAGTTATTTGAAACCTTATTCTTGTTTATTAAATAGTATTAATCAAACTTCGGTAGCAGACGGCGGTGTTGTCAGGATCGTCGCCCCTACCACGTCGCGAACCAGTCAGGTATAAGAAACAGAAAGGCAATATGCACAACGATCCTCCGTCGGAGATCTGCCATCCCGCCCACCCAGAGCACAAGCTGAAGCTGATGGCCGGCACGCTGTTCTTTTGCGACGGCTGCAAGGAGCCCGGTTACGGGCCCAGGTACGCGTGCGATTGCGGCGGCGGGGGCCAATCCTTGGACCTCCATACGCGTTGTGCCCTCGCAGACGATCATCTCTTCGATCTCCACACTCTGGCGCATCCGCTGTTCGGCTACGGCAAGCAGTTGGAGTTCCGCTTCCTCCACGAGGCCCCGTCGTCCCCTGTCCAGGAGGGCAGGAGGGTCTGCGACGCTGGTGGCGAGCCCCCGCGCGGCTACGTCTACCACTGCTCCGAGCAAGACCTCTACATCCACCCGTGCTGCGCGTCCCTGCCGGACCGCTTTCTCCATGACGGCCGTGCCTTCGACCTCCACCGGAGGGCATCGCGGCCGTGTGCCTTGTGCCCAGATAATGAGGGCCAACGCCGTTGGTTCTGGTCGTACCGCTGCAACTTGGACGGCGAGGCTGCTGTAGACCTGCACGTGGCGTGCCTCAAGGAAACAGCTCGCCGCGCTGGGGGGCCTACTACCGTAAGCAGGACGTGGGTGACTGGCGCCCTGAATTTCGACAGCATGCTTAACATGTTTAGCAGCAGCATCGGGTTCCACAAGTTTGGCGAGATTGCAGGGACCCTTGCTAGCTTCGTCACGGCGCTGGTTTTTGGGAACCTGATTGTCAAGATGTAGCCGCCTTTATTTGCAGGGCACCATTTGTTTTTCTGGGGATCTCGATTGAGCCAAAATCCGCCATATGTACCAAGATGTGAGTACGTGACCACCAATTGTTGTCTGCTACCACTTTATCTGTATGTATGTATGTATGTATGTATGTATGTATGTATATGCTATTCGTCAACTAGTGCGTTGTGCACGGACTGGTTTCTATAAGCTAGTAGACACCTATTGTGTTATAATTATAAAAACTATTTCAGGCATAATTAATAAATGTTAATATTTTTTTACTAGCCAATTCTCATTTAATATATAAAAAATAATTGAACTTTGCAATGATACGATAGGGTATGTCAACATATCCTGGCATAATTCAAATATTTAGGTGTAGTATGATGTATTGCTAAGTTCATATAACCTTTGTTCTTATACTACAGGAAAACATATATTACAGATATAAATTAGATGAGCGTATAAATATTTCTTGCATAAGGGCCTGTTTGTTTCCGTGTTTTTCCGCGTTTGCGTGGTGATTTAGCGAGATAAGCTGAATAATCCCGCCGAACGCCCCGCGACCGACACGCGACTCGCAGTCGCCCGTGCCGTGGAGTCTTGAAAAAATGAACTGGAGCCCGCGATTCCAAAAACGCGGCCGCGGAGCCGCGTTCTGTGGCAGAACCTCCTAAATTACATGGGCCACATGCACCTGTCACTGTCCAACGACCTTTGACATCTATGCATATGTTACCGATAACTTAAGAAGACTGTCGGGTGTCCTCGGAGAACCCCGAATCATCCACGATTTCCGAGCAGGATCACATTACAGAGTCATTGCAGTATTACAACAGTTTGTTCAAATAGATACATCAGAGTAAAATATAGCGGAAGCATTATAGTAACTTAGTTTACAAACCAGTTGTTTTCAAACCTTACAAACTAAGCACGATTATTAATACAAAACGAAGTAGTGGAGTGGCATTATAATATAATACAAAACACACAATAAAACTGCCCTGCCCAAGGGCCACACATTTACTTCTCGTCATCAGATCGAATAACCGTCATGCAACACGATCTAAAACAGATTGGCTCATGAGGCTCACCTGCAACAAGGGTCAACGAACCCTGAGTACAAAAGTACTCAACAAGACTTAACCGAAATAAAAAAATGATAAGACTCAGGAATACAGGCTCAGGTGTTCAAGGTATGGCTTTAGCAATAAACAAAGTTCTTTTGCGTAAAAGCTCTTTGACAAAATCCTTTATATCAACATTTAACATTTCACAAGATCATATACAAAGCTGACACGATCCGCAATAAGATCATGAAACTTCATATCCAACAGTTTCTCAAACCTTCTCAAGTTCCAGTTATTAAACTACGATGATGAACAGAGAAATGAGTCTCCATAACCGAGGAGCAACGACGATTCGAACCGATTAAAACCCAGCTGGGAATTCCAGACCACACGACATATGCAAGTCCCCGACCTACATATATCAACCTACCCTCGGATCCTCTAAACAAGAACGGGTCCACACCACCCGAGAATACAGTACTCCACCAATCCAGCCCATTGCCACGTGGGTACACACTATTCCCGCTATCTCTCCACTCCCAGTGCGCGAGTAGCCATTCTCGTAATAGAATAGCCAAGTTAAGGCTTACCAAAGTATGCGATTAGTACTACCAAGTCTCATCGCACACAGTTCACCAACGGTACGGGCCTCAATCGACACAGGCGGAAAGAACTCGCTCACAAGACCTCCATGTCTTGTGGCTCACACACACCAAGTCCGCCCGGTCTAGATTTATTACTTCACATGCTCATATTTCATGATAACATAAGTAACCAAAGTTTCATTTAGAACTTACAGGTGACAGGTAATCACCCGACTTTCATCGTTCTAAGCATAGCTAAGCATAACTAGGCATATACGATTTTAAACTGTTAACAAGGTAGATATAGCAAAACAAGGTTGGTAATACACCAATTTGGTTTCCACTTGACTTCTAATCACTTAATGCAGTAAAGAAAAGCAAAAGCAGAAATAACTTTGTAAAACACAAGGTAGGGTTAAATGCATCCGGGGCTTGCCTTCGTTGACGGAAAAGTCCGGCTCTGGAGTCGCACCACAAATATCACTACCGACCTCGACAGGCGGAATAACTTCTTCTACAGCTTGATTAACTACTACGGGTTCACCTTCGTTCACTACACGTAGTAATAATACCATGCTTAACATGATGCGCGATATAAAACATGATGCTCGATGATGGATACAAAATTAACAACTTAAATACAACTTTCCTTCGCGGTACAGTTACAAGCTAAGCTAACTAAATCATTTTCGTAACACGTAAATCAATTGCCAAGGATCATTAACAATCAATGACCTAAGGTCATCACTCAATCAAAAATTCAACAAAAACCTAAATCATCAAAGGTTACTATACGCTTTTATGAATTAAGTATTTAATAAAAAATTATGAATTAAATCAACTGGTTCCAATTGAGCTCAAAATTTTTGTAAATGTTCATCACATGATAACTAAGTGGCAAAACAAGTTTCATAATTTTTGGATAAAGAAATAAGCCTAGAAAAATCATGGAAACTGATTTATTAATTAATTGAGCAATTTTTATCACATTCAAAAAGTACTGAAAATCAGCATTTCATATTTTTCCTAAATAGTAGACATTACAGAGAGGTCACACAAAAATTTTCATAATTTTTGGAGCTTTAAATAAATCTACACAAAAATAACAAAAACAAACACTATTTAATCATTTCTGAAAAACAGAAAATTCATTTTGAACTACACAGTCACTGACACTCGGGTCCCACTTGTCATCTTCAACCTCCGACGTTGACCACGGCAGCGACGGCTCTGACCGGCGATTCCTCGCCGACGGTGAGATCACCGGCGATGGCGATAGCACCAACATGTTCTACACGACTAGGCGCACCTACAGACATACTTAGACGCACCGATTACGACTCAATTCTAGCTCAACGTCGGCCATGGCGGACGCGGTGGCACGGCCGTGCTACGCCGGCGACAGGAGATTGGTAGCGATTAAATAAACGGCACAGGAAGCACCAGTAGCTCACCACAAACACAACGGAGCAGAGAGCAAGGCTGGAGAAGCAGCATAGACGCGGGTCGACGTGCACAGCAACGGTGGCGGAGCAATGATCGTCGGTGATGGTGTGCCGGCGACTGCAGTGGGTAAAAAGACCAAGCAACACTGGATTAAGCACCACAGCATCAAGACGAAGCTGTAGGTACACTTATCAAGGACAACGGCTCACCGGAGGATGCTGGCCGCGGTGAAACGGAATCTCGGGCGAGGTTGCCGGCCGCGAAGAAGAAAGGCGTGGGCAGCGAGTTTCCGGCGGAGTCAAGCCAAAATGGTGGGTTAGCTGGATGCGCAAGAAGGAGACGGAGCTGTGGCAAGCTTTGCAGTGACTGGGATGCGCTAAAGCGATGGGGAGAGCTCGTCGGAGCTACGTCGGTGGCGACGGGAAAAACAGAGCAAGGAGGCGGGGGCAAACGGCGGCGGCTCAGGTTATAAAGGATGGCCAGGAAGCTCAAGGAAGCTGCGCTGAGGCCTTCACCGCGCCAGCGTGACGCCAAAACGGCCACGACCGTGCCTGGAACGCCGAAGAAGGAAACGCCGGCAATGTAGCTTCGCCGGTGAACACTATTCACAAAAATTATAGAACTGCCATTCGCCAAAATTCCCAAATTACTCCCAATTTTTCACAACAACTCAAAAATCTCCAAAAACAAAAGTTGTTCAAAATCAAAAGTTCTACAACTTTTCTTTTGAAACCATACCCAAATTTGGCATATATTTTGAAATGCAAGTTTGAATTCAAAAAGGGGACATTTAAAGAATCATGCCTTTTCAAATTACTTCATATTTTTCTAAATAACTTTGAAAACTCCAAAAACCAACTTTGTTCCTCAAGACAAACTCTACACTTTTGCTTTAAGACTCAACCCCAAAATATGCTTATATTTTGAATTAGGTTTTCAGGGTAGAATTTAAATGCCGAAATTAGGGTTTTCGGAAACTCAAACCAATACAAGTATTTCGAACTTGATTCAAACAATTCAAAGTAACACTTATAACATAAATGTAAACTTGTTTTATTGAATGCATATCAAAGTTTGCAATATGACCAAATGCTTTGCAATGCATATGATGACATGACAGTTTTAGTATTTAAAACACCCGGGGTGTTACAATTCTTCCCCCTAAAAGAAATCTCGTCCCGAGATTCAATGCCATAGGGTAAGTAATGGAAAAGGAAATGTGTCAATCCAAAAAAAAATATCCAAAATATGTCCATAAAACAGCTGAGGTTCCTTTACAATCATGGTTCGCAACCACATAGTAAACTAACATTAATCTATATCGACGCAAGAAACTCTGGAAATTTTTCTAACAAATAATCTTCAGATTCCCAAGTAGCTTCTTCTTCTGAATGTTGATTCCATTGTATCTTGTAGAACTTTATTGTCCTCCTTCGAGTAACACGATCTTTCTGATCCAACACTCGAATAGGATATTCTAAATAGGTCAGATCCGGTTCCAGTTCCACTCCTTCAACTTCAACATTCTGCTCAGGCACTCGGAGACACTTCTTCAATTGAGAAACATGGAATACATCATGTACCGCTGATAGATGTTCTGGTAATTTCAAGCGATATGCTACCTTTCCATACCTCTCTAAAATCTGAAATGGTCCAATATATCGAGGTGCCAGCTTTCCTTTAACACCAAAATGGTTAACTCCCTTCATTGGTGATACTTTCAGATATACAAAATCTCCCTGGTTAAACACCAATGGTCTACGTCGTTTATCTGCGTAACTCTTTTGTCTAGACTGAGCTATCTTCAAATTACTTTGTATTTGCCTAACCTTGTCTTCTGTTTCTTTCACAAGGTCAACTCCAAAGAATCTTGTTTCTCCAGGCTCAGACCAACTCAGTGATGTTC